TCGTCGTCACTCTCAAGGTAGGAGTAAAGAAACATTGTGAAAAATACGTAGAGAATAGTGTACATAGGTACGTCCACGAGATCGCTACAAAAAGAGCATAGCATGATGAAAAAGACTCCAAACTTGACGAAAACAAAATTTTATCGTCTAAATGTTTATGTTATTTTTAAGAGGAAAGATCAAAGTATTTTTGGGGTATTTATTTTACATTTTTAATCGTTCCTAGCACGTCCGAAATTTTCGTTAAAAATCTTTTTTTTTTTTTTTGAGTTAGCAAAACTGACCATTTTTTTTCCATTTTATAAAAAAAAAAACTGGAAATCTCACTTTCAAATTTTAAAAAAATCAATTGGGGCCCGCGCTCGACCCTTAGCCGGGGATCGTGCCGGGCGGGGAGTTTGACTGGGGCGGTACGTCTGTCAAACGGTAACGCAGGTGTCCCAAGGCGAGCTCAGCGAGGACGGAAACCTCGCGTAGAGCAAAGAAAATCAGAAATTATAATGTTTATTTTAAATATTTTGAACCAAGCCTAACTTAGCTTCTGCGCCGAAAAGATGTAATTTGAAAATAAAACAAAGCACGTCATAAACTTTCGCATCACTTGACAAATGATGAATGACATATCGACGGATTCCGTGAAGATAATTTGTTCTACGGAAGGAGAAAAGTGAAATAATTTACATTTAAGTGAACACATTATTTACCTCGTTATTATTAAGGAAAACTGTAAGCGCTCTAATTTTTTTTTTTGTACTTAGCTTTCACCTTTACGTTTACGATACTTTATGGAAAATATATTATAAAGAAATTAAAATAAGACTGTTAAGAGTGAGATTAAATTTCATATTTCATAAGAAAGGTATCTAATTAATTTATAGGTACCTTTCTTATGAAATTTTATCAGAAATGTGCATAAAATACTATAATTTTATTACATTTTACTGTGTTATTTGTATTTCCATTCATTTTGTTATTAATTTTGATATTTCATTTATGGAAAAATGTCATAAGATCATATAAATTTCATAAGATGATACTGATACTTGTAGATACCCTTCTCAGTTGAAATTGAAAATTCAAATTAACTTCTCCACACGTGTTTCGCAAAAAGGCCTTAACAGCGGAGAACAATGCTTAACTCAAATAATGCAACTTGATTGTATTCTGGTTGGTCTTCCGTACGTTATAATTACAGCCCGATTATAAACAAAATTACATTTCTTAATTACTGCGGATCTTCTGATTAGTCAAAATGATACAATTTACAACGCGCTAAAAAAGATCTATCTCATAAGGAGACTTAGGAAACCCGATGTGGCTTTTAACTAATTTTATAATGTTTTAACAAATTTAATGTAAAAATCTATTATAATTAAGAAATAACAAATAATTGTATTAAAAATTCATTTTTCATCGAAAAAAATTTTAAATTTCAGAAAAAACATAAAAGCATTTGAAATTAAATAATATCTTTGTTTTATTGCGTTTTGTATGTTACAATTCAGAGCTGATTTTCAGGTAGGGGTGGTCTAATTAAAAACAAAAAAAATGATTTGCATTCCTCAAAGCCTTGTGCTTTTAACTATTGTAATCACTAAAGCCGATGCGATCGAATTTCTAGCGTTTTCATAAAATTATTTAGGGGGAGGGTAATAAATATAAAAAAAAAAATATTTTAATAAAAAAATATTTATAATCTCTGATCTGCGATCATCTGTGAATAGTTCCTGAAAGTTTCATTAGCATCCGACAATTATTTTTATTTTTGCAAGAGTTTCCAAATTAATGTGTGTCATACCAAAAAAAAAAAAAAAAAAACGTGCTAAAAATTGTCTATGTTATTTTACTAGTTCCGGTGATACAAAGAGAAACAAGGTTTTTTTTTTAATCAAAATTTAGAATTTTCTAAAAAGAAGGAAAAATTTCAAAAAATAATTAAAAAAAAACTTTGGTCTTTCCTCTTAATAATAACATAAGCATTTATACGATAAAATTTTGATTTCGGCAAAGTTAGCGTCTTTTTCAAGATATGCTCTTTTTTAGCGATTTCGTGGACGTACCTAAGTGTACACCATTTCCACGTATATAAACGGTATTCCACCATAATTATGATTTTCCACTGACAACGTACTTCTTTTGAGTGCATAAATTCTAAATAAATCATGAATAACTATTTCATTTCTCGATTGTAGTTTTAATTTATTTCAGACAAAAATATCTTTCTCATTCTTACAATAAATACCTATAAAACGTACCCAAGTAAAATCTTTATGTAGGGCAGATTTTCTATATCAGTTTGAGAGAAAAAGATAATATTAACAATAAAAACAGAAAAGAAAATAAATAAAGCAAAGGACTTTTGAAAAGATTAATTTCTCTTTTCATTCCTATGCCGTATATAACAAAAAGAATATATATATATATATATAGTTTTTAAATAAAAAGGATTTCTTGCTGTATTTCTGTTGAGTAATCTAATCATGAAATTAAATATTTTTTTATCAAATTATCATTTGATTAATAATTTTTGCTATTTCTTTTCATAGAGTTTCTAAAGTTTACTATTGGTAGACTTATAAGAGATTGTGTACTGCAGACAAACTTGCTATTTACGCAAACGGGGGTACTTCAACGTGGTGTAATGGTTAGCCTGCTCCTCTCGATAGATCACATGTAACAGAGTAGCAAGTTCGATCTTCACTGGGTGCTCCATACTTGCGAACCTATGCATTCAAGCTACGCCTAGTATATCACTTTTTAAGACTTTTCTTTTTTAGGCCATTTTCTTTAAATAAAATTATCACGTTTTCAAAAGTGCAGGATTATAAGCTACGATATATGTCTGTCTAAGTGAAAACGTTTTTAATTTATTATAATAAAAAATATTTTATATATTTTCGTCGCATAAATTATCAGAGAAATCCCGCCAGTTCTATATTGTCATATAAATAATCAGATCTTGTTCGAAACTTGTCACAGGCAGTGTAGGTTTTTACAATAACTTTTTTTTCAATATACGGCAATACTTCGATTATACTTGGTTAAAATCAAGATATACTCATTTATTTGGATTAATTGTCAGATTTATGAAGTTAACTTTAAGTGAATGTTTCTTTGAATAAACGAATAAATTATTGATAGATGATCAAAAAGAGGAAAATGCTAAGAGAAATCAGCAGTAAAAAGGTGACAAGAAATGCAGAAAATCGCTTCTAAATGTTACTTGTGTGAAAATGTTTTTCAATGTTCTCAGTGACGACATACCTAGAAAAAAAATTTTCTATATGAATAAAGTAGAAAGCTTTGTTATGCATCAACATGACTGATCATATTTTCAAACATGAATTTATAACGTGAAACTTAAAAACAACTTATTTAAAAGTTTATACTTTTCCAGAAAGTTTTTTTTGAAAATAGCTATATGGTTTAAGATAAAAGTACCATTTTTTTCAATAAGTAATATAATTATCTCTCACCATCTAAAAAAGAAGGTTACTTGTTGATAAACAATGACACATTCGTAACTATACGGGTAAGATTTATACGGCCACTAACAGTAGTCAGCGGGTTAATCTTTCAAGTCATTGTTAAGATGAACACTTCGAAACTGTCGATAGTCGCCCAAATCAACTCAGTCCACAAAATTTTTACTTTGGTCATTTATACTTGAAACTATGATTGTTATGGTCACAAGAGCAATAAAAGCATCAAGGCTAGGACCTTAGTTTTAAAATAAAGTTCGAATTTTAAATACATTTTCAGACTGATAGCTACCACTACCGCATGAATTTATGCGTATTCTTAAATTGGCAATCAGGCCTCAACGTTTTACTGTTGAATTTACTAAATATAACTGTCACATCTATTCTAATAACTTATTTTCTCGCCTGTAGTACTTTCCTATTTCTTGCTTCCCTGCCATTCAGGATCTTCAAAATTTAAATACAACGTCAATCACCATCTTCTATCTTCCTGAATCCTATTCTTTTATCCTCCTTCATTGAAGTCTTCTAATTCTCTTTCACTCTCAGTAACCCCTGGTGTCTTAGTGGCATTATCACATTGCTTGGAGGAGAAACGATTTTTAAAAAATTCCAGATATACTATTGAACTAATGAGTGGGGATAATTCTTCCAATCATTGGACATCTCTTGATATGGACTTACAAGCTATGAGCCTGATTAAACCTAATAATGATTTTAAAAATACAGCTAAAAAAAAAAAAAAAAGAGAGAAAAATGAAAATTGAAACATAAAAAAGAAAATGGACAAGGAAGATATTTAACATTTCCTCAGAAAAAAAGAAATTGAAAGTAGAGGATATCTCATTTATAGAAAAATTCCAAATTGCAACGATACAACATCTCGCAGAAGTGGTTAGTGTGTTAACTATATAACTGTTTATAACCCCTTTTATTTAAAAGGACGGTATGAAACAGAGTCAAGTAACTCACTCTTTTGGGTTTATTTGTATTTTATAAAATGTATATAGGTGGATAGCTTTTCGGTTTAATTCTGCAAGATTTTGGGGGTGGAAGGTGTGAATAACAAACAGAATGAAAATATTTGCACTAAGATCTATAACAAATACACCTGTGCGCCTTTATTCTTGTTCAATGTTCAGAAAGTTTGTCAGTAATATCAGTTCGCTAGTGAGGAGAATTTCTTACTACTGTTGATCCGACTAAACTAAGTATAAAATAACCACACCGAAACTGTTTAAGTTTGTGTAAAACCAAAATATACTGTTATGGTAATGATGACAATGGCTAAATAATATATTCATGGATATTGTTCCGATTTTAATTGTTGTACAGCAGGTTTTCTTTAAAGAAATGTAATAAAAATAGATGAAGTACGCGAACAAAGACGATAGTTACAGACGAGAGAAAAAAAAATGCGATTTTTAAATTGTCTATCTTTTACAAAATGTACACCTTTTAAAATACTTTTAAAAACAATAAAATACTTTTAAAAACAATAAAATACTTTTTACTTACCGTTTGGTCGAACGCTTTATTTTCCATTTTAAAAAAAAAGCTTCTGAAATCTCCAGTGAAATGTTATTACAAAATCAGCAGGTAACAATGTGCCTGTCGACTAGGTGTATACAAATTAACGGTGCAAAGCAAAATAGTTATTTTTCCTATTGATGTTATGCTTCACTTCTGAGTAAATTCTTGTTTGAGTAAACGCAGAATATAGGTCAGGTCAGCGAAATTACTATGTGAAGATTCAGTTTCGATAAAGAGTTTACAGATTAGAAAACTGAGGGAAATACATTACACATCAAACCAAACCAATGGAAGAGTGAAAGGTGAAAATATTGAGTAAGTTACAATTTGAAGGGTAACCGCTTCGTATACTCTTACTCATATATATATATACAGAGAGAGAGAGAGAGAGAGAGGTGTATGTGCGTGTACAAAATTATATCGAATTAAAAACAAATATCATAATTCTTGCCAAGTAAACTTTCGTCTTCTAGTTTTTTTCAGATTTGAACCTAACACTCGATGCCTGAAGAGAATTCAGTTGGAAACAGTATCTGTCTGTATTCAATGTCGGATTTGTGGATCTCGTAATACACAGTGTCTTTTCAATCCCACCAGATATACAACATCACTTTCTTCGGGTGCACACTGGCTTTTGGAATGGTTAACGGTGCTTTCGTTTTCCACCAGGACATCTTTCGCTGCACATTGTTGCAAATAATACCTTTTTCATCGCCTGTAATCGTTCTTTTAAAAATAGGTTCTTTTTATTTCGTTTGGATAAATAATTCCAGGTGGAAATGAAGTACATTAAATTCTTTTTCGTTAAATCATGAGGCACCCAAACATTGTAACTATCCCCGTATGCCTTTGTATTCAAATGCCTTACAACATCCATATGAGATATGGAGAATATATCTGCGAGTGCTCGTGATTATTTATAATAAGCGTTTCGGTTTCGGTAATACAGGGTGTACACTAGTTTGCATTTAAGCAAGCATTCATATAAATATTCTTCGTAGTTAAGTGCAAGCCTAGAAGAGAAGGCTGAATTTTATCAAGAAATGATAGTTGCGCATTTCCCGCCAGTGCTCACAGCAGGCGTTCGAACTCAGATAAAATTCAGGTTTTCGAATATTGTTTTTTTTTATATATATTAGGTTGAATTTCTTCAAATGGAAGGCTGACATAACAAATTTTCCTTCTTTCTTTGACTGTGTAGCTCTATATATTTTCATTTGTCGAATTCTAATTGGGAATTTCTATTATTATTTTATGAATATACAATATTCTTTTATATTTGCATCTTCGTCTTGTTCGACTGCAGTAACGTCAAGCCTCTGTTAGTTGATTTTGAATGGAACCTTCTGTTTCATCTTTTGTTTTTGTTTCGTTTTGTTTTTTTGTTTTTTTTCTTTTATTTGGTATCACCCCAAGTAAGGCAGTACATCGACTAACACGAAAGGCTGTTACAAGGTGTGGAGGAATTAGGAACTGAAACATTACTAATGAGTAGAACGAGAAAAGAGCAATCAGGAGGACAGCAGATAGTGATTGACATTGTATTTAAATTTTTGCAGATTACAATTGGCTGGAAAGCATGGTGCCGGGTGGGAGTTCCACAAGCGAGAAGTGCAAGAAAAGAAACTGTCAGCAGAGAAGTTACGGCAACATTTAGTTAGCTCAACTGTAAACTGATGAGATCTCGCCGTGCTTAAATTCAAAAAATCTAGTTACCATAGCGAAGAGCTAATCCAAAAAAATTGCCATAAAGTATTTATAGAAAAGACACAGAGATGCAACCTTATGACGGTGAGAAAGTGACTATTCGCCATATTAGGTTCAATAATATTGCTGATTCTTCTTTGGATTTTATTAAGTAACTCAAAGTAAATAGCAGGGGTACCGGGCCATATGTGGCAGTAATATTCTAAGCATGGACGAACTTATAGATATGTAAAAATTGCTTTTCACGACATAGTGAACATATTTTCTTCGCAGCTGATCTAGTAATGGTGTCAATATAGTCTTTCCATTAAATGTCAGCTGAGAAGGTGCAACGAGTGACTTTCCTGAAGTTTAGCATCAACCATGTTGATGGAAAGCAGAGTGGGATCTCTCTGATAGTTAATGGTGAGAAGTTTAATTCTGAGGGCGTTAAAGTTAACAAGCCATCTTTTCCTCCAGTTTACGATAAACTTGAGCTTGTTTTGAAAATCGGCTGACATTTTGATCTTGTCAAACTTGAGGAGTAAATGGTAATGCCATCAGCGTAGATACCAAGTTGAAAGCTGATGTTATCGGAATGTTCATCAATGAAAATTAAAAACAGGGTGGGTACAAATATGAACCCTGGAGGACACCCGCGTTAGTACGAAAGAATCTAGACGAATGGCCATTCTCAATAACCTTCATTTCACCATTTGATAGGAAGAACTGGATCGGTTCAAAAATGTGTCCAGGGACACCGTAACTTATCAGGGCTTCGTCGTTTTTATCTAGAGCATGATAAACTCTTTCTGGAGTTATAGTCAGTACATCAGCAGTTGACCTGGAGAAAGCAATATTGCTTGTCAGAAAAAGGCCCTGCGATGAGAGGTGATAAACCAGTTCAGCATTGATAAGGGCCTCTAGGAGTTTTCTCCAAATAAGTAGAAGGCTGACAGAGCAAAACTGGAACAACAGATGGACAATTTAAAAGAAAACAATTCAAGGACTATTACAGTGATACTTTCAGCTCCACATGCTTTATGGGGATTTAGGTTAGAATGATAGCAGAAACCATAGAAGGGGTTATATGCCAAAAAAATTTGAGGGGGAAGTCAAGGAGGCATACTCCACATGAGTTTAGAGTTTAAGGAGAATTTACGGGCAATGCATTCAGCTTTATCCGATTGAAGATAGGAAGAATAGAGACCTTTTACACTTAGTTAATACACTATAGGGAGCCAAAATTGTTAGATGCTATGCGGTAGCTTCATTTTTACTCGGAAAGCAAAAACTTAGGGGCCCTTGGAAGATTCGTTTACATTTATTACGAACAGTAACGAATCTCAAGATATCAGGCTGGTATAGCTAGTGGGTACATTGAGGCTGAACATGTTGGCGTGAACCAGAGGATTTTTCACCTGATATTTCTGAGAAGAACTGGATACAAGAAGAAACCTTCAAAAGGTTAAAGATGTTAGTCAAAAGGCGCCACAAAGAAAATCATGGATGGAGTCCCAATCAGCATACTGGTAATGGAAAGAGGTATTATGAATAGGATGTTCCTGTTTAATAGATGATTGGAACGAAATATCGTTTTACCTAGAGCATTATAAACTTTACTTTCAATTGGAGCAGTTTTGTTTAAAGTCAGCCCACCGAAAAATCAATATTAATAACAACAATTGGGTAACTGAGGCACATCCCCAAATGTCAATTTTAATGGGGTCTAAAATCAATGTTTTTAACAATTCTCAATGGCACATTCCCAAATGGCAGCAGTTGAAGAGGCCTGGACCTTTGATCCTTTTTCAGCCTTCTCAATATTGCTGGAATGCGTCAAATACTAAAAACGGTGTAAAGCCAGGGATCACTGAAAAATTATGAAAGGTTGAAAAACAAATGTTGAGTAAAAAAAGCAAGCTACATTACTACGGTGAATGCAATGCAAAAAGTGGCAGAAAAAAAACAAACTTAAATTGGGAACGGTTCTAAACGAAATGAAAAGCAACGTCTTAAAGCTGTAGTAGTAGGCTTTATAACGGAAAAGGTAACATTCATAGAGATTGAAAGCTCAATTTGAACTCAAACACAATTATCTATCAAACAAAAAAATTTAATCGAAATCTTATGAAAACTGTGGAAACGCATAAACACATCACACACACACACACATTTTGAGTTTAATTGATATAGATAATATTATTGTAATAATTTCAAGTATTTATTTTTTATTAAAGTTTTTATGAAAGATATATATCCAAGAATAGATAGTAAATAGTAAACGTTGAGATTATAATGGACAGGAAGTAGTGGAGAGCCATTGTCGCCAACAATTTGTCAAAACCGGCACTGAAAATTATCTATCAAACAAAACAAAAATACATGGAAATCGGATGAAAGCTGTGGAAATGCATAAACAACATCTGATCACACACACACACACACACACACACACACACACACACACACACACACACACACATTTACACATCTATACTGTCAGCAATTATGTCTAATATATTGCAGTCCTGGGAAAAGGGAGAGCGATGAAGGAAAAAGAGATATTTAACAGAGTTTAGTAACGAAAGACGGAAGCACATGAAATAGTTGTCTGAGGCTCGAGAGATAATTCTCTGGACATCGAAAGATTATCCCAGGTGTAGACACCAAAATTATGTATTTGAATGCTGTAATCTTTTCGTCAAAGGGGAAGATAGGCTGGAACCAATAATTCATTAGTAGCAATGGATGAATTTATATTAGTTTCACAAAGGGCAAAGATATTTGGCAACCGTTTCAGAAGAAAGATTCTACGCTGCAGAGATAGGAACGGATACCACAAATATTAGGGAAATAAAGGTTGAGTGGGTAAGTGTTTTTTTTGTTTGCTGGTTTAGTTGTATTTCTTTTTGTGTTTTCCATGAGATTCGGTTTGAGGAGAGAGAGAAAAGACCATCGTAATTGTCACTATTTGTCGTCCATGGCAATACAAACTAGCGTAGCTGAGAATGTGGCCTCTGGGCTGCCCACCGAAAATATGTGCAGGGACATTTACGCATGCGCGACATGGCATACCAAATACCCAGATATTATGCAACTGTTGATTAGAACAGTCTGTCTAAGCGCTTAACAATGAGTTCGGGCTTCTAACGACCAGTCGGAAGCAGCTGCCTGAAAACTGACAACCCGGGACCCTCACAATTGAAAGTCACGGCCACTGGTTAATCAAGTAGTCATGAAGACAGTTAAATCATTGTGGCCTTGGTAGAAGGAAGAAATAAATAAAGAGATAGAACCGGTACACTTGAACAGAGAACAAGCAA